CCAACTTGGAATATCCTCGAGAAAATGGCGTAGCCATTCAGCCTCTTCAGTGCACTTATCCAAGGCTATTAGCTCAGATTCCATCGTGGATCTAGCTATTAACGTTTGTTTCGAGGATTTCCACGACACGGCTGCACCTCCCAAAGTGAAAACATATCCACTTGTGGACTTTGAGTCCTTAATGTCAGATATCCAACTAGCGTCGCTATACCCTTCAAGTACAGCTGGATATCTTCCGTAGTGCAGTCCAAGGTTTTGGGTTTTTCGTAAATACCTCAAAACTCTTACTATTGCCTTCCAGTGTTCATCACCGGGGTTGCTAGTATATCTACTAAGCTTACTAACCACAAAGGCAATATCAGGCCTGGTACAACTCATTAGATACATTAAACTGCCAATAATCCTAGCGTATTCTACTTGAGAAATACACTCTCCACGATTTTTGGTCAGATGTACGTTTTTATCTAATGGCGTCCTTGCCTCTTGATAATCATCCTTATTAAATTTAGTAAGGATTTTATCAACGTAATGAGATTGGCTTAGCGTCAGACCGTCAAGTCCTCTAATTATTTTAATCCCAAGGATTAAATCGGCCAACCCCATATCCTTCATGTCAAATTTAGAATTTAACATGCTTTTGGTAGAATTAATCATTTGATTATTGCTGCCCACGATGAGTATATCATCCACGTATAAACATAAAATGACATAGCCGTCTACCGTGCTTTCCACATAGACGCATTTGTCACTTTCGTTTATTTTAAACCCATTAATTAACATTGCATGATCGAACTTTTCGTGCCACTGTTTAGGGGCTTGTTTCAATCCGTACAATGATTTAATTAATTTACAAACTTTCCTTTCTTGGCCAGGAACACGAAAACCCTCGGGTGGTTCCATATAGATTTCTTCGTCTATATCGCCGTTTAGAAAAGCGGTTTTTACGTCCATTTGATGAACTTCCAAATTCCGCAAAGCGGCAATCGCAAGTATCATCCTAATGGAATTTATTCTCGTTACCGGAGAATATGTGTCAAAGTAGTCATGGCCTTCACGTTGCTTGTATCCTTTGATTACAAGTCTGGCCTTATACTTTTCAATGGAACCATCAGGTTTCATTTTACGTTTAAAAATCCACTTGGATCCCAAAGGTTTACTTCCCGGAGGGAGATCAACCAATTCCCATGTGTGATTTTTTAGGATAGAGTCCACCTCACTTTTGATGGCTTCTTTCCACATAGGACCTTCGTTAGACGTCACGGCTTCTGTATAAGTCCGTGGTTCATTTTATACCAAACATGTTAGAAAATCCGGTTCATTTTCTACCATACAAGTTAGAATATTCGAATCGAATTCTACCAAATATGTGAGAAAATCCGGTCCGAAGGATTTTTCAATTCTAGCACGTTTGCTACGTCGGGGTTCGGCTTCTTCACCGGATCCCTCACTAGTATTTTCCATAGCTGCGTCAAACGTGCGTTTTGACGTGCTAGGTCCATCGTTGGACTTGCATGGAAATACGTCTTCAAAGAACGATGCATTCCTTGACTCGATTATTGTGTTTTTATGTACATCCGGATTATTCGAATCGTACACTAAAAACCGATAAGCACTACTATTTTGTGCATATCCAATAAAAATACAGTCCACCGTTTTTGGACCTATTTTTATTTTCTTAGGTGTTGGTACAAGCACCTTAGCAAGACACCCCCACACTTTCAAATATTGATAGGAAGGCCGTCTGCCTTTCCACAACTCGTACGGAGTTTTATCATATTTTTTCCGGGGAGCCTTATTTAAAAGGTAATTGCTTGTCAAGATTGCTTCGCCCCACATGTTTTGTGGCAAGCCCGAACTTACTAGCATCGCATTCATCATATCTTTCAATGTGCGATTCTTTCGTTCGGCAACACCGTTTGATTGAGGTGAATAGGGGGCGGTACGTTCGTGTACTATACCCACACTAGCGCAAAAGTCACCAATTGGTGCTTCATACTCACCACCTCGATCACTCCTAACCGTTTTAATCCGTCGATTAAGTTGGTTTTCCACTTCATTCTTATAAAGAATAAATTTGTCGATGGCTTCGTGTTTATTTTTTTAATAAATAAACATAGCTATAGCGAGTGCTATCATCGATAAAAGTAATAAAATATTTATTACCGCCACGTGTTTGTATTGATTTAAAATCACAAACGTCACTATGAATTAATTCTAGTGGTTCCGTTTTTCTTTCAACCGATTTGAAAGACGTTTTCGTTAGTTTTGCCTCGACACAAACATCACATTTGTGCTTCACATCAATTGTGAATTTAGGAATGTGTTCCATGTTAATTAATCTACGTATAGAATTAAAATTAACATGTCCTAGTCTACCATGCCACACATTGGAAGACTCAAGCAAGTAAGCAGAAGAGATTTTATTATTATTATTAATAATAGTCATTACATTGAGCTTAAACAGCCCATCAACTGCATACCCCTTTCCCACATACATTCCCGATTTAGACAAAACTAGTTTGTCCGACTCAAAGACCATGCGGAAGCCATGCTTGTTCAACAAAGAGCCCGAGATCAGGTTTTTGCGTATCTCCGGGACATACAACACATTGTTGAGAGTCAGTTCCTTGCCCGAAGTCATCTTCAGGACCACCTTGCCCACGCCTTCCACCTCGGAGTGAGCAGAATTTCCCATCCACACCTTCTCACCGTTTGATGGCTCAAAGGTCGTGAATAGCTCCCGGTTAGAGCAAATATGCCGGGTTGCACCGGTGTCCACGAACCACTTATTGGAATTGGATCCAACGAGGTTGACCTCGGTCACCACGGCCGCAAGAATGATGTCTTCATCCTTTTGCCCACCTTGCACCAAGTTGACTTGGGAGTCTTTCTTCTTCCTTGGTGCCTTGCAATCCGAGGACTTGTGTCCGTTCTTGTTGCAATTGAAGCATTTTCCATTAAACTTGAGTTTGGAAACGCCTCCTTTGGGACCGAGCTTGCTCTTCCCATTGCCTTTATTTTTGGAGCCTTTTGCATGCTCCACCACGTTGGCCTTGGCGCCGTGAACAATTGGGAGTTTCCCATCGTTCTTCCGGTTATCCTCTTCAATCCGAAGACGGAGGATCAATTGTTCCAAGTTCATTTCCTTTCGCTTATGCTTAAGGTAGTTCTTGAAATCCTTCCAAGCCGGCGGCAATAAATGAATAATAGACGCCACTTGGAACGACTCACTAAATGTCATTCCTTCATCTCGAATTTCGTTGAATATCATTTGCATTTCTTCAACTTGACTCAAGACCGTCTTCGAATCCACCATTTTAAAATCAAGGAATCGACCGACAACAAATTTCTTTGCACCGGCATCCTCGCTCTTATATTTGTGGTCCAAAGCATTCCATAGCTCCTTAGCCGTAGCTAATTTGCTATACACATCGTACAAAGCATCATGCAGCCCGTTCAACACGTAGTTTCGGCATAGGAAGTCAGAATGCTTCCAAGCTTCAACCGCGTTGAAAGATTGCACATCCACCTCACCCCCGGTTACAACCGGAGCGTTCTCGGTCAAGAACCATGCAAGACCGAGAGTAGTGAGATAGAAGAGCATCTTTTGCTGCCACCTCTTGAAGTTTAACCCATTAAATTTTTCGGGTTTCTCCACAGAGTTGCTCGGCACGGTCACCATAGGGATAGCCCTTTGGTTAACCAAAGCAGATGCACCGCGTTGTGAACTATTGTTCACCGGAGCTCCGCTTTCAGAGTGATTATCGTTCAAACCGTTCAAAGCATTCTGCCCAACAACATTTTCATTTTCTTGAGAAGTCATTTTTCCGTTTCTTACGTTCTTCGGAAACACAAAAACAAGTTCGTTCACCACGGTGACAAACTACAAGTGTAAGATTGTTTACCGTAGTAGAACAATCACCGAATACGTTTTAAGATTGTATCCGTATGATACAAGCTTAGAAACCGAATACGTTTTAAGATTGTTGGGTGTGTTTCGAAAAACTAAGAAAATAATTAATAAAATTAATTAAATAAAATGACTTAAAGGAAAAATGAGAAATGAGATGAAGCAGAATAAGCCAAAGCTCGTGCCAAGCACGATTTCCTTAAAACGTATTCGTTGCCTCCCGGGGTGCTAGGAGCGTTGCAACGATCGTTTCCCAGGATACGATGACTTCGAACAATAGTTTAGCACTCAAACTAAAGTTCCAACGAACGAGAACAAGGCTTAGAACACAGAAGGAATTTCGGAAGCTGGAGGTGTTTTTCTAGAGCTCAAAAACTGTGTGAGTACGTTTGTGAGTGGTGTGTTGTTGCAAATCACCTGCCAGCTACTTATAGGAAGGATTTGGAGGTGTGTTAATGGAGGTTTAATGGATATGAACGTTGGCAATCAATGTCCAGCTCGTTGGCATTGATTCGTCCAAAAAACCGTCCATTGATTGCAAAGGAACGTTGGGCATTTATGGCGTTGTAACGCCTCAGCAGCTGCCTGCTGTGGAGCCAACTGCTCGCACGGAGCAGCAGCCTGCTGCGGAGCCAACTGCTCGCACAGAGCAGTAGCCTGCTGCAGAGCCAACTGCGGACGTAGCAGTGGCCTTTTATCCGTTTTGAGCGTACCATATATCGAATTGTAGCCCTAAGTAAGGACAATCCGAAACCACTTTGACCCGACCCAAATCGGAAGTGGACCCCACTCAAAAAATTGCCCCAAAATAGCCATTTAATGCAATTTTCCACACATTTTTCCAACATATAAATTATGAAACAACAGACAAAAATATGAAAAATTTGTTTGTACACACTTTGTTATACATTTATGTGATAAAGTTATTATTTGTCTACAAATCCTGTTCGCAAACAAAATATGTCGATGAATATAACGTTCTCACATAAATGTGTATACGAAATTAGAAACCTGAAGAAGTTTTGCCCCAAGTATAATGTGAGAAAGTGAAAAACTACTCCTTAATAAAATTCATTTTAAGAAAGTACACAAAGTGGGAGGGATGGAGTATAAAAAATTGCGAGTTGCCCCAAAACCCTTTTGGAGAGAAAAAAAATTGCGAGTATAATAACAAACACATATTTTGCCCCAAACCCCCTTCGCCTCTCTTCTGGCGCTGTTATCTACGAAGTGAAGATTGAGATCTCTAAGTCAATCGTTAAGATCCTGTTCTATACTTAAACGCTTGATCTAAGCCGTTCCGGTCACCTTAACTAAAAAGCGGTGCTCAATACACAGAACAAAACCCTAGGCGTCGCTTCCATATCGCCCAAGATGGGAGACCCCAACGATGCTTTCATGCGCAACAACGCCGCCGTGCAGGCTCGCACGAAGGCCCAGAACCGTGCCAATGTTATGCAACTCAAGCTGGTAAGTTTTTATTATACCGGTTTAGGATAGTTTGCATTATAGCGTATGTTCTGTTATAAATTTATCTGAGCTGAACTTATGCTGAATATGAATAGATTATGTTGATTTTGTTAAACATAGAACTATATTAGCTCATATTAATTTTGGTCGTTATGCCTTTCTAGTCACCTGCTAATTCATGGAATCGTGGGTTACTTGGATTTCGAAATTTGGCATTGGATTAAGTTCCGGACGATGACTCATTGCGTTTAAGTCTTCCTTTGCTGATTATGTTTCCTGATTCTATCTCCATGTAGAAATCTATATCATTGCTTCTGACTGGAAACAGTCGCTAATTAATAGGTTTGGGGAACGATTGAGAGTTGAAACTGTTATGGCATTGTTTTTAACTGAGTGCAGAGTAATATTTTCCAGAGACTAGTTTATTATACAGAGTATGATCTATTGCTAACCTGATTGTTGTAATGCAGATTGGTCAAAGCCACCCAACGGGGCTCACAAATAATTTGCTGAAACTGTTTGAACCCCGCCCACCTTTGGAATTCAAACCACCTCCTGAGAAGAGAAAATGCCCTCCTTATTCAGGTTTTTGTTGAACTTTCTAATGACATGCACTTCCTTTTTTGTTCAATTCTGGAGTAAAAATTGAAATTGTTTTTCCATATAGGTATGGCCCAATTTGCAAAAGTTTTTGCGGAGCCTGGTGATCCAGAATATGCCCCACCTATCAAGGAGGTGGAAACTCCAGTAAGATATAATCCTTATAATTTGTTACTCCGTATATGTTAAACTTTTGTTTGATAATTGGATTTCTGTCTCGAGACCAGATAGTTTGGTAAGGGCACTGCTTGTAAATTGTAATTGCAAGATGTTCATTTCCCTTTTGTACTAAATTATATTTATTTGTATGAACAAAATAAATTTCCCTAAATAAGACTAAAAACGTTTTTGAATTCCAAAATTGGACCACTATTTTTTTATTCACCTGATACTCTGATAGGAGTAATTAATGCCATGTTTTTGCATTAAGAGGCTTTAAACATGTCAATATTTCCCTAGCTTGGCAGTGATTACTCCTATTTAGGGAATAAAAAGTAAAAACATAGTACTCCTATTTTAGAAGATCAAAACGTTTTTACTCGTATTTTGGTTATTTTTCCTATGAACAATTATAATGCTTATTCAATTTTTTTATTCTCAAGATCCTGCTAATGGTTCTTCTCTATTGATTATCAGTCTGAATACTCTGAACTCTAAATCTGATTAATTTTTCCTATGGCGTTTTCAATTTCTTGTTTTTAATAGGCGGAGAGAAAGGCCAGGATTCACAAGTTACGACTTGAAAAGGGTGCACAAAAGGCTGTTGAAGAGCTTGAAAAATGTACATTTGTATTCACTTCCTGCATGTTCTCTAATATATAGATGTCCATGTATATGAAGAAATGACTGATGATCTTAAATATTATTGCAGATGATCCAAATAATGACTCAAATGCTACTGGAGATCCATACAAGACATTGTTTGTAGCTAGACTTGTGAGTATGAATTGGTTTCAAGTTTTTCATATTTTTAATCAAATCACCTATCTGTTTGAAATAGAAGACTTATTTGATGCTTTGTGTTTGTGAACAGAACTATGAGACAACTGAAAGCAGAATCAAACGGGAATTTGAGGCCTATGGTCCAATAAAGAGGGTAGGTATTGTAGAGAACCCAAGAGGGGGTTCCAATTATTGACTTTTTGTGTCGGTAAGAGGTAAACTGTATGAACCAAGCATTCCAGCCCAGCTGGTTGCGAGGTTACCGTGCCTAGTGGGAGGTCTCGTGTTCGAATCCTGCTAGGCGCATAAGGGCTTGAAACTCAATGTAGTGAGTTTGAGCCCTGATTACTCCAGGCTCCCCCCCAGCCCCCCTCCCCCAGAATCCCCCTGGAGTAAAAAAAAAGAGGTAAATTGTATGAATTGGTTCCAATTATTGGCCTTTTGTGTTGGTAAGAGGTAAAACATATGAATTTATTGCTCTTCACTAGTAAATTTCCAGCCAATTTCCCAATGCGGTTGCCTACCACAAATTGGTCAAAATCTCAAATATGTTTTAAATATTTTCCATTAAAGATAAAGATGCTCATATGCCCATTTGCACATTTTGTTACATTTTAAGTTGTTTTTGAAAAAGTAAACTTGATCTCATGTTTACTTCCAAATGAAATGGCTTGTAAATAGCACTTTTGAATATACTTAATTTTTTAAAAAGCACCAATTTAGTGCTTTTGGGTTAAGTTAAGTTACTTAAGTACTGTATACATTGTAATTCAGAGTTGATGATTTTATTCAATTAAATCATTTTTGATTTCATTAGTTATTTTGTTGGATCGTTATTGCTTTGTAAATTTGGGAAAGTGCTTTATCTATTCCAAAAGTGTTCCCAAATGATCTCTCTTTCAGTATTCTCCTTGTGAAAAATAATTTTGAATTTGGGATGTAGGAATTACCTTTAAAAACAATTTAAAACATTTCTATGGTCAAAGAAAGTTGTTTCTATATCATCTCCTTTTGTATCTATACTTGTATATACATTGCCATGTATTTACTGCATGTATTGTGCTTAAAGTGTGAACATGCCATGATCTTGAAAATATTTTTAGAACTTTTTCCTCCCGCAACATGAATTTTACCTCCATATTTCCCCAATCTATACTTCACTGTATGAAAATTAAATTTGGGAAATTAGATTATTAGCGTTCCTTTTACCCTAAGTAGAGGTTGGTAAGCATCACAGGTAAAATCATTCACTCTTCGGTAATGTCATTATCCCGGTATTCCTCAAATTTATCTGGGCCTTCAAAATTCTTCTGGTCTTGGCATTCCATTAGCCAAGAAGGAGCTTCTATGATAAGGTTCAATTGTTTGGTAATATTCTTGGTAAGAATAAAAGCTTTGTTCATGGTGTTTTCTGGATCCTGGACTTGTAAAAATGGAACCATTTTTGTCCTGAAGCCCTTCCTTCTTCCTGCAAAACTAAGCTTAACTTCATAAGTTGAGCAGAAGAATTGATGCATTGTGCATTTTGGTCCTTTTGAAGCAACAAGAGAGCCTCAATACTTTTCCTGCGCTGGGTGAAGGGTAAAAATATGTTGGGAGTATAAACATCTCTTTCCCTTTTAACATTTCATATGTCCACTTTCTGCTACTAAAATTTTATTTTTGGATTTAAAGGCAGTCAAAATGTTTCTGCAGTTGAGGAGCCTGGTATTTCGTATGTTATTATAGTTATTTATTTATTCGTCTTTATTACAAACAATCCCGGGTAAGGGGAAACTAGAATGTACGGAAACAGTAGATTCGCCACAGTTTTTTCACAACTCCGCCAGTGACGGTGATGCCTATTGCTTGGAGCTCTATGATCAAAGGTGAGCACGGCTAATGAGGCGTATTGCCTATCTGCCGTGCCGTTAGGAATTTAATATATATTCAATGGCATGGAATACAAATAATGCTATTGTTTTTTTGTTGACATGTACACATGATTTTATTTGCTTTTTTCCTGAGATGATATCTTATTTTATGTCATCTGAATTTCAGATTCGTCTGGTTACGGACAACACAAACAACAAGCCTAGAGGATATGCTTTTATTGAGTATGTGCATACTCGAGATATGAAAGGTATTATAGATCTCAATTTTATTTCGCATCCCCTCATTTGGTGGGTAATCATAAATAAGAACATTATACCAATTCTACCTACATTTACTTGTTTTCAGCTGCTTATAAACAAGCTGATGGGAAGAAGATTGACAATAGAAGGGTGCTTGTTGATGTTGAAAGAGGAAGAACAGTCCCGAATTGGCGACCCCGCAGACTTGGTGGTGGACTTGGAACTTCAAGGGTAGGAATTGAAGATCTTAGTCAGAAGTCTTCTGGGAGGTAACCTGGAACATTGTCATGCATACATCTTTAAATGCAAATGATAACAGCCTCTGGTCTCCCCTTTTCACCTAGGGGGATGACACCTTTGGGTGTTAAGTGTAATTAAATCATACTCCCTCCATCCCATGCTGGAGTCAAAGCTGTTTCAGAAGTCTTTTGTTCAACGCTGTTGTCAGTTTCCATGAAAGTAAGATAGTTTTAATGTAATTTACCAAAAAGAGATACACACAAGTTAATATTTGTTGTCGAATCGAAAAATGAATTTAAATATCAGCAGAGGATTGTGTCTTTTAACAGTTCTGTCTTTCCAAAATGTAAAACTTCATACTTAGATAAAACAGTATTTTTGGGATGGAGAGAATATTCCTTTTTTTCGGTGTAAAGCAAAATTGCTCTGTCAACCAGAACATAAAACTAAAAAATAATAATATAAATTTGACTTTTCAACGTGTGATTTTCTTGATGCCATATTTTTTATTGTGGTTATTTAATATGGCTGGATTTTTGAAGTAACAGACAGCATTTGTGTTTGTGTTTTTATCTCAACTCCCTACCTCACCCACAATTGTCTTTCAGAAAATTCTTGGGATCCTTTGTTAGACATTCTTGAATTTACATCCCAATGTGATATACTGATATGTGCACTGGATTTGAATTGACTAGGATGTAAAAATTGAAGTGAATATTTTCTATATTCTTCAAAAATGTATCCCTGGAATTGCTCATTTTCGTTTGCTCTACTTGAACAATATAAGTGAATATTTTCTGCCATTCTTCAAAACAATAAAAGTTATCATCTGTTATCCTCCCAAATTTCCAGAGAACAAGTGCAGTCAGGAGGAACATCTCGATCTGAGGAACCAAGGGCTCGAGATGACAGAGAGAGGTATTTTGTCTATTTTTTGTTTTCGTAACACTCTTATGTTCAGTAATTTAGAAAAAGCTATTAAACCAAATAGCAGTGCTGGTGTCAAAAGTGAACTCACTAGCGAAACATTTCAGGGACAGAGAGAAGTCCCGTGAGAGGCCTAGAGAAAGAGAACGTGAACGGTCTCGCGAGCGGTCTCATGACAAACCAAGGGACCGTGAGCATAGGGATGATAGACACCATAGGGATCGTGATAGAACTAGGGACACTAGGGAGAAAGACCGCGGGCGCGACCGAGAACGAGAACGAGACCGTGATCGCGGCAAGAAACGTGACAGAGATGAGCGTGAAAGGGGAGATCGCCATAGGGAGAGGGACACCAGAGATAGAGATCGAGATCATGAATTCGAAGTGGAGAATGATCGTGGGCGCTCTCGTGATCGAGGTCATCATGAATATGATGATCATGAGCTAGACCGACATGCTGAGAAAGAGAGGAACCATGACCATGAAGGGATGGAGGAAGGACCTGGGGATGAAGGGTGGTATGAGCCGTCCGATCATGGACGTGGACACTATGATGACTACCATGACCGTCGCCGTCATCACAGTCGTCACAGGGAGTATGATGATGATGTGGATGCACATGGGGCTGGAAATAACGATGAACGCTACAAGGATTCTGGCCGTGTTGATAAGATGGATGAGGAAGAGGAGGATAAGTATGCATACGACTACCGTGCGGCTTCTGAGCCATCAGGGAAAGAACGTGATCATCGACGGGCAGAGCGGACAACTGGTCCTCACGATTATGATGATGAGTAGGAGTAATATAAAGCTTCGAAGGCAGACAGAGAAGACTTGGGGGGTATGTGTATTTACTTGCTGTTTTCAAAATGTTTCTTATGACACTTCCTGAGCAGGTTGAACTGTACTCGTTCGTTAGAGGAGACACATCACACATATGGTCGGGCAGTTCTTTTTCCGTTTCTTCTTTCTTAAACTTTGTTTATTTTGACGGCTGGCTGGACAATTTAGTGTGGGTTCCTTTTCACCCAAATTTTATTCTCATTAAACTGAAAAAGTGCCCTGTGTTTTTTTTGTTTGTCTCTCTTAATTGACTGTGTTCGTATTGGATTACTTAAATTCTTTGGTTTTTCATCATGCCATTACGTTCTCTTGGTTTGCTCGGGATTATTATCTCTAATTAAAAAAATAGCTCCATCAACCAAAGCTCTTGTCATAAGGAGTCCTGTGATATATTGGTGATGGGTATATAAGCTTGCGTTGTCAAATCTTGTGTAGACCTATGCAAAACCGGCCCGCCCCGCCCGCACAAATAGGTGGGCTTGAGCATATATATTTATCCACCGGGCCCGGCCCGACCCGACCCGCAATAACATATGGGCGGGCTTGGGTAAGGGTGTAAGCCCGTTCGAGCCGATAAGCCCGGCCCGCTACATTTAGTATATATACATTTTGGAAAAATTGACAAGAATAATCTCACCTTTCACTGGTCTTCTCATAATAATCTCACCTTTAAATAATCCCAAAATAATTCCACCTTTGCACCTCATCTTTTATTGAACTCTGATCAAGTTTTTTACCTTTTTTTAAAAATCTTATAGAAATGATCTCACATTTATAAGGATATACTACGTAATTAAAAAGTGAAAGGTGAGTTTATTTGTATAATTTTCAAAGAAAGAGTAAAAAACATGATCACTAAATTGTCTATGCCCAGTTCACCATTTTTGAGACCCGTAGACAGTTTAGTGACTGCTGCTTCATAACAAAGATTATTTTATTGATAAAAAGATTATTTTGGAATATTTATATTTATTAATTTATAAGCAGGTAAAGATTACATTTGTTGCGTTACTAAAGAAGTAACAACCCATGTCCCCTGATGAAGCTAAAGCGGGACCTAATTGAAAATGTAGTTTAAAAGATCTTTTAAACTTCACGTCCTAATCCTCCTGGAGGAATATGTGAATTCGAAAGATCTTTGATACTATGCCTAGGGGTGGACTGGGACTGGGTAAGGCCGGGCTCGGGTGGGCTCCGGGTCCAAAATATTCAGGCCCGGCTCGGGCTGGGTCGAGAAATATTTTTTTTGGTCTTTGAAGTAATTCCAATGGGAAAATTAAAATAATAATAATTTTGTGCCCAATCCTGGCCTGACCTGGCTGGCCCAGTTCACCATTTTTGAGACCCGTAGCCAGCTTGTTGAATTCGCCAGTTCGGGTCTTGGTCCCGGGTCATTGTGCTAGGTCGGGTAGTGATGGACCCGGGCCGGGCCTAGGCTCGGTCGGGCCTCGGGCCTCGGGTCGGGACCGGCCCGGGCTATGGCCGGTGCCGGGCTGGGCCGGGTCATAATTTTTTTAAATTATTATAGAATATACAAATTCTAATTAAAAACAGAGTTGAAGTGCATTTATTTGAAATAGGAATTACATTTGAGAATTGAGAAAAAACAACAATATGAAATACATTTTCTAATAAATATCAATTAGGATTTCCGCCACCGTTGGTTGTTGTTTTTCCTTTGTCACAGGATTTCATATGTTTTATTGTCATCCCGTATCCGTGTGAACGCCCGAGCTACATTCTTTCTTGCACCACTTGCAAGTTGCCCACCACAGTCTTCAGGTCCTTCCACTTATCAAAATTGTTTTGCATAAGGGAAGATATACTTTCCATCTTTAAAATGGTAGATGTATAAGTAGGAATGTAGGATAATAAGAGAAGATGAATATGAAGAAGAGTTGAAGAAGAGGTGTAGAAAAATGTTAGAAAATAAATGTATTTATAGATGTCAACAGCCCAAAGGGTGTTTTAAAAAGAAAAGTTTTTTTTTTATTAAAATTGTGACCGTTAGGCCCGGACCCAAGCCCGACCCGGCCGGGCCGGGTCGCCAAAACATAGCCTCGAGCCTGGACCCGCCACCCCCACCGGTTCGGTGCCCGAACCGGACCCGGACCAGAGAACCGGGCCGGTTCTGGGCCCGCACAGTAGCGGGCCGGGCCGATCCCAGGCCGGGCAGCCCGAACCGGGTTCATGACTAGGGTCGGGCTTTCACAGCGTTGGGCTGGGCCGGGTCCCGTGTCGGGCCGATCCATCCCAGTTCACCACTAACTATGCCTAATAGCAAGATTCGTTCTATTCATATGATCATCAATGGTAATTGCTAAATGATCATCAACGAGTAAAAGAAATGTAATTGCTAAATGATGATGATGTGCCAAAGTTGTCATTTTGCACCATTTTAAATGTAATAATAATTCTACCTTGTGTTGTAGTTGAGAAAAAATTATCTTATATATTGTTATATTATATTTGGCATTCGTTTGATGAAGTGAAAAAATACGAACAATTTTGAATTTCACAATACAAGTGAGATGAATAAAAAAGTGAGTGGATGTCTTAGTGGGATAGAGGGAGCACTTATTTACTCAACTCAGAACCTTTTAAATTTTAACACACCGTTCAAAAAGAACAATGCCAGGATACTTCGATATCTTACTAACGTATAACAATGCCCCAAGGGCCCGTTTGTTATGATGTAAAGTAAACACTTTGCATGCAAAGTGTGGGGATGTAAACGTTTTACATTGTTTGTTTTAACAATTTGATGTAAATTGTAGGACACTTTTTAAACAATACTTTACACTGTACCATGTAAAATATTTTACGTGGGGGGAGGGTGGTAAACTAGTTTACATCCATTAATAGATCAGAATAAATATAACGAATTACATATTATTCAACTGTACCGACCTTCGAAGATGGAATGTGGCGGCAAGCAGAAATCGTTTTTCATCAAATCTCTTTATCCATCTTTGCTGTTCTACAGTCTACGGCCTACACATGCTGTTTAGTTTTTTAGAAACCGACCTCTTTGACATAAACTGAGAAAGCTTCGTCGACAAATATATATATATATACACACATGGAAATCCTATTCTTCTGATATATAAAGTGAAAAAGTTTCGTTGATACTCCGTATATATGCAGTGTTGAGTGCTTGGTTTTTAATTATTTGTGATGGTTATACTACGTATAATAAGTATATATATGTAGTCTATAATATACGGAGTACATAGTAAAGAGTGTGTAATTTTAAAAGAGATGCCAAACGATGTATTTTTAGTTTGCATGCAATGTAATTGCAGCCCTACACATTACATGCAATCATTTTACATGTAAAGTTTTAATGTGTAAACTACCAAACGGGCCCTTGATTTAAACAATGTGGACTAATTTTATTGAAGCAAATCCTCACTCTCTAAGTCAATGCGTGAAAAAGTGTTTTTTTTTTTAAGATTGTAATGGTTGAAAAGTGTTCATATGTACGTAATATACGCAATGTTTAGTTTAGTGATTGATAATTGTCACCTTGAAGAGAATATAAAATGGAAAATGCAAAATACACGTTAATTGTGAGCTTGTATAGTTGTATGATAATATGTACATGTGCTCGTCTATATGATAATCAAGGTCCACATCAAGTAAAAGTAATTCACTAAAACTAAGATAGTACTTGCCTGGTGCTTAGTGATTGTGTAATTGATTTCTACCAATTTGACGATGTAATTAAGGTTAACATTTTGGGTTAAAGGACATTAGTAAAAACAATTAAAATATGATGTAATTAGAAAAAGTCAAAATGAAAGTACAATTTTAGCTCGAACAAACTCCGTTTCGGATGACTCGTATTTTAGACTTGCATATAATAATAGTAAGAATAAAATAATAAATGGTTGCTAGACTATGGAAATAAATATATGGGAAACAAACAATTTCTACCATAAAATGTCAGAAGTCTTCAGAATTCAAATGTTCATCTAAGATGTTTTCAATAAAAAACACGTAATTTTATCAAATACTCTCATACAAATTGACAATACAATCAATTGATCCAAACAACTTAATCAATCACTAAAGTATTATTTGTACAAACTCTTGTAAAAATTGTAATCACAGATAAAAGTTGTAATTACATATTTATGATTAAATTAAAAGAAGTTTAAAGAATTGTGACCCCTTAAGTGTAGTGTGAATCTAATTTATATTCAATTTTTACTCTTAAAATTGATCATGACGTGACTACTTAAATGTGACCTCTTTATATGTTATTGATCAAAGACTTTTTGCCATATTTTCATAAATAAGTTTTATTTCAATATGTTTGAAAAGTCCCAACCCATATTTATTAGAAAATACAATAATCATATCGTTTTATACCTATTTCAGGAAATTTCCCAAACAAGCAAACATAAACACTTGAAACTGTAAGCTTGGGTTGGAATAGTTCATTTAGTAAACAAACACTTCAAAATCTGAACAACCCCCCGTTTTTTCTAGTTTATGTATGTTCACTTTAGAAGTTAGAACGAAAAAGGGAGAAGTGGGTATGATGAAGATTCTCCTTATCATAGAAAAAAGTACAATGTTCTCTTCCCTTCTTTACTTATCATAGAAAAAATATGCACCTCCTGTCAGCATAATAGAGCATAATAATATGACATCTTATTCTGGATTTTCCCCAAACAAAAGTCTACCCAAATGCAGTTTTAAATAATCTTTGCAAGGGAAATGGACAAATTGATGTAAAAACCTCCACTAGTGAGTAGATTTGCAATGCTAAATGCAATAATAGTTATGCATTAAAATTTAAAATCAAGCGTCTCCAATGTTGATAGTGCTCACATGCAAGGCTTTCAACATATTTGAAAATTCAGAACTCCAGACTAACCAATGATCAAACAAAATACGGAGTATATACTAGCTTTCATCTCATCACTCTTCACCTCTGCACATTTAGCACTAGAGTAAAGACAACCCAATTCCTTCAAATATTCAATGAGCATAATAGGGACAAGGGTAACTGGGTAATATCTCAAATTCTTACTCCAAGAGGCACCCATGCTTGCCTCAATCACCCACAAATCATCCAAGTACCTAGTGAGTTTGGAGCGGTGGAATTGTGGAAAAGACCTTTTCAAATAAATATTGCAGTAGTTTTTGAATGTCTTGTACATTTGCATATACTAATAACGTACGAAGTGCTTAAAACGTGTAAAAATTCTGAAAATGTAATCACATACAAGCAACAAATACGTAGTAATTTATACAATACAATGCGTTTGTGCCTTTAAATGGCGTTTTAGAATATCTACAACTAGGAACAAACAATTAGTTATCATTGTGTACAAAGAGCCAATGCAATCAGTAAATCTGCATTGCATTATAATCATTCAACAATGATTATGCCTTGAAATCAATGCTTTCCAGTATGGATGTCGCTAATGAGTACAAGGCTTTCAACATATCTAAAAACAGCATGAAGAATGACATTTCTGCCCGAAGAAAGGACCTTGACTTCATTGGAAGTGGGATCAAACAAAAAACTACCATCTTCATCAATCTCATCATTTCCCTGTACTGAATATTTACCAAAAACGTTGAAGAGAAACTGGTTCCTCCAAACGGTCACTGGTTCTACAAAGGGCGGATAAGGGCCACAAGTCAATATCTTACTCCAAGAACCACCAATGCCTTCCTCAATCACCCACAAATCAATCGAAGCATTTGTGTTTAAAGCACTAGAATAGTGATATACGGCAAGCCTGTCTGCATACACAGCCAGCTTAGCAACTCCGCTCCCGGATAAAGGAGGCGGTGGTATCAAACTGAACACGTCCATTGCTAAATCAAATGAAACTATGACACCAGAATTATCTTCCTCATGAGATGCCAAACCACTCTTTGTTGCAAACCAAAACATAGACCCATTAGAAGTAACACCATACGCTAGAAGGTGTCTGCCTTCTAAGCCAGGAAGTTCTATTTTCTTCCATGAATCTGTGGCTAGTGAATAAACTTCAAATTCATATCCCACATTACCCCGCCTCATATAGGTTAATACAATTTTGTAATCGTTAATAGCTGGACTGAATGCAAAGCCCAAAATACAATAATAACAAAAGTCCATAATTGTTCTGCTTCTAGGCACTTGCATAACCTCTCTAATTGCAGGATTCCAGAAGTAAAGAGACAGTAAAGTACCAGGCTTCTGGATTTGAACACAAAGCAATCCGTTGCAGGAGCCGACTATCATGGCGTTCCCTAACGAATCGATCAAAGGATTGTTCTGAACTTGGCGGAGTTGCATGTCGCGGTCGAGAAAATATCGAATCGAGGTACCTGAGACGATGTTCTGTCCCTTGGCAATAAAAGAGGGATATTCTCGGTCGGAGTGGTCGAGGTGGCTGGCGATGAAAGATGGGCTGTTGATGAGATTCTTCCAGAGATTGCACACAGTTTGGAATTGGATTAGGGATTTCACCGGAAGTCGCTTGAGAACGTTGGAGATGATTTCAATTGGAAGGAATGGGGCGTCGCTACTCATCTCCGCCGCCGGCTTCATACTCAGTCTAGCAGGCGCAATAACAGATCTCTCCTTGTCTCGGTTTACTTTTGAGTAAAGGGTCCGTTTGGTCCTCGAAGTTGTAAAAAAGGGGTCAAATAAGTCCTTATATAGAAGATTCTGTCCAGACGTGCCATTTGAGGTGGCTCCCGATAGATTTTTTTGATGAAATATTTTGAGCATCTTATTCATTTAGTCTAGTTTACTCATACCAAATTTCAGCTAACAATTCAATTGGGGAGACATTCAAATGAATTCTTGAAGATAACTGCGCTTTTAACGGCACAGTAATCTTCAAGAGTTCATTTGAATGTCTTCCCGATTGAATTTTTATTTGAAATTTGGTATGACTAAACTAGACTTAATGAATAAGATGCTCAAAAAATTTCATCAAAAAATTCCACCGGGAGCCACCTCAAAAGACACGTCTGGACAGAATTTTCTATATAAGGACTTATTTGATCCCTTTTTTGCAACTTCGAGTAACAAACTGACCCTTATCCCGTTTACTACTTTTTGTAACTCGGATCTGCTTTGCGTAGGGAGAGAGTTAGGGGGTGTTTGCTTAAGGAGAGGAAGCAAAAATTGGAATGCTTTTAAAGTGTACAAGTGATTCTGATGCTTTTATATGTGTATATTTATACGTTTGTTAATATGTGTTTACATTATTTATGTGTGATTATTTATTTATAACGGGGACGGGGCATAGATAGAGCGGGTGTAGCAATACCCGTCCCCCACCTAAGGACGGCAATGGGGGCGGGGCCGCGTGGGAACCGCCCCATGGGGTGAGGATGGGGTGGGGTTTGGGGCGCGGTGGGGATGGGGATGGGTGGAATATTTATAACCCGTTAAAATATGGTGCGGGGATTGCTACACCCGTCCCGTTCCCGTTATCTCCTACTTATATTAAGGGTGACTTCAACGCCGTTCCTATTTTTCAGCCTCTTTTCCGTTAAACCCACTTCCATCTCCCTTATTCCTCACGCCCGTCTTGTTTTTCATTTCCGCAATTTTAATCAAAATCCATTCCTCAGAAACCGGCTTTCGAAAAACATTACTCCCTCCGTCCCATTTATTTTGTCCGTTTTACCTTTTCGGGAAGTCCCACTTATATTGTCTCATACCATATTTGGCAAAGTTTGTGTGACTCTAAATCATTATTACTTTATTCTTACTTTATCAATTAATATCAACCACACAAACTCACTTTTCTTAATAACCGTGACACCTCTTCCGGGACAATATAAATGGACGGAGGGAGTACATCATTGTGTCTCCCCTGTTGACCCATCCTCCCTACAGTTCTCTTGTCAGCGGCTTGGAGATTTTTCCCTCTTCTTGTCGTTCTCCTTCCATCCGACCTTGCGGCTTGCGCGTTGTGCCGGTTTATCAGTGCACTCATCATCCTGCTCGGGACATCCCTATTTAAGGAGGATTGTATACTAACAGTCACGCTTAAGTCTGTTGAACTTTGTTATATACTATGCTCTTCCTGTTCTGTTTTTATTGTGAGCTTGGGCCTTTTCCTATTGTGTCTTTGTACCCTTAGTTTTCTTTTGTCTGCATGGTTTCGTTTTTTCAGACTCTCCCCAGAGGGGATTACTTTTATTTGGGTATGGAATTGGGCGCCTGGTGTGTTTGGTTCTTCGTTTGCTATCCTTTTATTTTCCCATATCTTAAATTCAAAATCCCTCCCAACTGAATCTCATCTTTTCCCTACTATTCTCTTTCACCGAGCCAAACTATTGGAGCTAAAATGGATAAATAAAGAAAGAATAAAGGTTGTGTACTTGTGTTAAGGTTCTCCATATTAACTGTTTAATTTTCATACTTCCCCTGGCTTGTATTGTTGTCCCTTTGTTTCCATGGTTTATTATTATTATCTATAAATGTACCTTTTGTCTGTTTCAAATTTGCAGGGAGGTTACTTATGTGCCTGAGTTTATATTATTAATATTATATTATTTGTGTGTATTAACAAAGAATTGTTAGGAAAGTGCTGATGGTGCGCATGGTTAATCAATACACACTTTTGAATGTATTTGGATACTATTGACAATTTGACACATATGGGCTTGACCTGGTTCAAGCTATTTTTATCCACACATATCTCCCACTTAATTAAACTTCATTTTATATTGAAATTCGAATTTTTTGCTACTTGTCAAGCTGCCGGTCACCCATAAGCTTTGACGGGATTTGATGCAAAATTTAATTATTAGAAGTTTTTGTTGTTGTATTTGTTCCTTCTATAATCCCACTATAAAGGTGGTGGATATACAAAAACTTTTAGAATGAGGTCTATTAGAACACCTTGCACAAGCCACGGTTTGAAGCAGGTGCTTGAGCTTTCTTAAGACGGATATGTTTAACAATTGACCATGATGAAATGTTATTCCTTCCATCCCGAAACAAATGTCCTATTTTTTGTTAGAAATTGTCCCAAAGTAAATGTCATGAGCTGAAGTACGTGAATCACATTATTTCGCTCATTTCAACTGAAGTTTACACGTCTCCTTTTACTTTTTATCTATTTTCTTAGCATGTGTGTATGTCAAACCTAAAGAGGACATTTATCTTGATATAGAGGAAAGTCAGTAGCATTTTGAAAAATGATGTTATATGTAGTCGGAGTTATTTTATGATATACTTTTTTTGAAAATATATGGTTCAGAAAATATGTTTCTCATAAACAGATTGGTAACTTCTTTCTTCATTCAGAAATTGATGTTTTAAGGTTGTGATTGTAAATGATAGTTGGGGGAATAATCCTAATCACAGAAGCGGGGTGCCTTACAATCTTGTATGAGGACGATTGTACAAAATAGTGTAATTAGCTATAGCTGTTTTTATCAATCTGGTTTGAGATGTTGGGGTCTCTTGTATTTGAGAGTTTATTTTGACTGCTTGATGGATTTTATAAATCTACCGTCTATGGATCCTAATCAACTCCGGACAGTATACTTAGCAGTATATGTAGTACGTTACATTCGGTAACACATGGGGTGTGATAAAGTTGGGTTATATTACCTCTGTGATGCCAGCAAATCATGGTTTGTTCATAGCCATTAACACATAGATTGTGTTATGACGTATAATATTAGTTTCTGGATTTAAGCTCAACTATAGTCAGTGTATAGTGCAGCATTTTATGTGATCAGATAGACTTGAGAAAATAATTTACGGGTTTACACAAATTTTACACCCTTCCTTAATACACATATATTAAGTAGATAAGTTTCTTAAAGTATTGTTATATGTAGGCATGTAGCTGAATACACTTGTTGACATATTTATTTTGATGGTTTATGTTTTAGACAATGCACTTTCATCAATAAGTACTATATAACAGTTTTTTAAAACATTAGGAAAAATGCTATGACTATTGCTTTAGGTATATGCCTGTACACTTTGTAACACGGAGTATACAATATACTCATTGTGAGAAAATTTAATTACCTCTTTTGTCTGTCTATTTCCGTTTGCAGAATAGGGTGATGCACTTGCACTCTAAAAAGACCGTTTTTGTATAGCGACTTTCTTCAGTTCTTTTTTATAGGAAATATGTTATAACCGTAGCTCTGGGTGCCGGCGATTAGTAACATCCATTACTCATTTGACGTTCTGTTTTGCCTGACGTTACTGGCTGCTAAGTTTTGTGATTCATTACTAATCATCCATTAGCTTTACATATTTAAAAGTGACACCAACTGTGTGTTGAAACTGGCATTTAATTTTAGGCTGCATTAAAATGTTCCAGTTAGAAAACAATAGTTTGTTTTCAAAATATTTCAGTTTAAAAAGAGTCTGTCTTTAATACACTTTTTATTACTAATCACATTATATGGCTTATAATTTTATGCAGTGTGAGTTTGTTCCAGGAAAAACTATTTTTTAATGCTACAATTTACGCATTTAGCTTTTCTCATTGACTATAAGCTATTTTTGTAGTGCCAACTTTTGTGGAGGTGAATGAATGATTCGAATGAATAGACTTTTTTGAACTCGTGTAGCTTAAAGCGATTAGTTCAGATATGGTGGTCAACTTCCAATCTTTATGTTATATGCTAATGTGACAATGTCCCTTGGTTGCTACAAAATATTAGCGAAACTGCCATGGTATATGCTAGAGTTCTTCACTGAAATAGGGTGATATGCATTTGTGACAGGTGCCTTGACCATTTTTTTTAAATCAATTCAAAGATTTGTTTCCTAATCTTATATTTCTTTCATGTCTGCATTTAAATATTCAGTCTCTATTTAAAAATCAAGTTACTTGGATTGGGCACATAGCCTCGTGCATGGCGCGTGCCTTGCTAGTATATATATATAAACTCAAACATACATATATATACAAACATACATACACATAAATAATGTATAACCTTATTTAAGTAAATTATAGAGTATGTATTACGAGGTATATTAGTATATAACAAACACGTGCATATACATATAGACATATATAAATGTATATGTGTGTGTAACTTTGTATTAGTTATGACTAATGAATTAATAAATATTATATCATCATAATAATACGTAATAAATAAAAATACTTATCATAAATGTTATATGAGTACTGTTAAAAGTGAGAAAGTGAGTAAATAGAACACATATGCATATTTAAGTATAATATGCTCTGTATATAATTAATTGTATTCTAATTGATGAGAAATTTGTAACGACATACATGATGATAATATGTTTTACTTATTTTTTTACTTTTCTAATTTGACTCAAATTAAAGAATTATTAAAACTTGAAGGAATTAACTTTTATCAAACACGATGTCATGATAATATCTAGCTTACTTCTTTTAGTTCTATATATATTTATATTTATCTTTAAAATGGGTTACAAAATATGCAAATAAGATACTCCCTCCATCTCATTTAAAGGTTCCTGTCCACATTCTCTGGTCAACGTGCATTGTTCTTAATCTTTACTTTATAGTTTATATATATATAGCTTTTATCAAATTTAATTTTTTATCAGGTATTATAGAACTTTTAATGTAGTTTCTGAATATGTAAATTTTATTTACAAAAAAATAATTCTCCTAAT